GATTATTTTCTGTCATACTTATTCAACCCCCCCCCCCTTCTAAGTATTTTCTCACCTTCAGCTTCCTCAAAACATCTCTTTGCGGCTTCAATGTCTCTGTGTAGAGTTTCCTAGAGACTCGTCAAAGTATAGTATTTCATCTTTAGGTGCATTATCGAAGGCACGACCACCAATTCGTCCATAATTGGTTGTCCGAAGATGCATTGGTAAAGTGACGGGCAATCTATAACCAAGAACTAAACCTTGATTGAATTGGCCGTTTCAGTGGACCCGAAGGTTACGATCAGCTCTACATAACCCCAGGGTTTTGTCACCGACCCATTGAAACCCTGCAGATCGGATCCCACGTAGTGAGTCAAATGTGATTCGTCCAGCTGGAGGGTGGAGAACAGCTGGGAATACATAATATCAACTGAGCTGCCTTGTTCGACGAGGATTCGTCGGGCGTCAAAATTTTCCATCTAGGACCTCACGAGCAGAGGGATGCTAGCATTGAGGGCTCCACCAAGGAGCTCCTCACGGTAAAAGCAAATGGGAATAGACTCTCCCCGAACCCTATCGAGGGTGGAGTTTTGATTCGAGCTATTACTGATAACGTGCTCGAATTTTATTTTGACGGACCCTATTGTGACTTTATTGAAGCCCCCTCCGGAGATGACTATGGCAGAGGGGAAAGTCTCCCATAGGTTGTGCGCCGCAAAATATGGAGGGGCGCTGAGCCCCTCGGGAATGTAGAAATCTTCAGGTCGCGAGATGCTCATAGCGACCTGAAGGCTGGTTTCTTTGGAGGAAGACACCTCTTCCTCGAATTTCTTGGACTCCTGGGGCATCCTTCCAAGGAGCATTCTTTCGTTTGGAGAACTACTTCAAATTTCCGTCTCTGATGAGTATCTCTATGGCATCCTTCAAGTGGATGCATTCTTCGGTCATATGGTCGTGGCTCTTGTGGAACCAGCAATATTTCGACTTGTCAGTGTTTGGTTTGAATGGTATCTGCTTCGGGAACCAGCCTCTCGCCTGCCAGAATTCTAAGTTGGCACATTCAGAATGGATCTTTTCCCGTGATACTGTCAGGGGAGTATACTCGCGAAACCGGTCAAAAAGCCCTTTGTTGTCTCGGGGCTTTCGGGGACGGTTTTCGCGCCTTCTATCTCCTCGACGAGATGTCGAGGGCTCGTCGGACCTAGAGGATCGGGCATTCTCTCGATGCCTCGAATCTCGAGTAGAATTGATGGTCTTCTTCTCTTCGTACTAGATGTACGCTTGTGCTTTGGGGAGGAAGGCATCCAGTGTTGTTGAGGGCTGAATGCTTACATCTTTAGCAAACTCCATGCGGGGATGGAGCCCGCGCTCGAGCAGAAATTTCTTCATGTCACCGGTCGTGGAGACCTGGACAACCTCCTTATTGAACCTTTTGATATAGGCTCACAGGGGTTCATCCCTCTCTTGAATGATGGCCTCAAGGGAAGCTTCAGTCTTCAGGTGTCGGCGAGAGGCTGTGAAGTATCTTGAGAGCATTCTCCCTAGCTGCTTCCAAGAAGTGATAGAATCTTCGGAGAGTCTTTTGTACCAGGTCATTGCCCCTTTCTTGAGTGTGGTCGGGAACGACCTACATTTGATGGTGTCCCGGACGCTGCGATAATCGAGTAACACATCGATATTTTTAATGTGCTCATCGGGATCCATAGTACCGTCGTATGTGCCCAAAGAAGGGGGTTTCTCCATTCCCTTCGTCAGGCGCATAATCATAATCTCTTGGGACAACGGGCCGCGAGGCTCGTCGTCACTGCTGCTAATGGACCAAGACGGGGAGCGGCTGTTCTGTCTGTAGGTAGAATGGAGATCTCGACGGGAAGATAGGGTTCGTGCTCGACCATTGGATTTGGGAGGAGGCGAACACTAGGACTCTGCTTGGTGATCTCTTATGGCCCTTTTGGGTTGCGGGGAATGATGGTTCCGAGGAGAGACATAGTCGCGCTTTCTGACGGTTTGAGTCTCTGGCTCCGAAGGTGTTCGACGGTTTCTTTTGCGCCGGGGAGGAGGACTTTGTGGTCTTTGACGTTCTTTCCTCGGTGAAGGGGATCTTGGACGACTGGATTCTTCTAAGGCTCCAATCCTCGCGCTCTGATTGAGGATTAGAAGGTTGGTCTTGTTGAGAACCTCGAGGAGGGCAGCCATGGTCGGGTCGGAGCTGGGCGGAATTGGAACTAGCAGATGCTCCGGAATGAGTGAGACCTCGTTGTGATCTGCATGAACGGGGGATGGAGAAGCGGTGGCTTTGTCCCTTTGTCGGAGAACGTCTCCCCCGAGAGAGGTGGTTGCTCCGTCAGTATTAGTCTTGCTAACGGGGAGGAAAACAGAGTTACGAGCATCATGAGTGTTGTCACGGTTGGCCATGATCGGAATTTGGAAGAACTGTTTTGGCCTTGAATCTATGAGGGGAAAAGACGGGGATAACAAGTTTCCCACATACGGCGCCACTGATCTTGACGGCTGATCAGGACCTAAAGTTGGCCAGAGACAATCCTCTGTAATGCTGGGTGTGGGAGAGGAGGATGGGGTGTACCTGCAAGGCACGCTGATGTTAAAATAAGAATCGGGAGAAAAAAGGCAAATACAGAATATGTATATATCAGAGTGAATATTGGATACCTGACCTTCTCAAATGAAAGGGTTCTTATAGTGCCTCCAGCGCTTGGCCATTGGTCCCTATTTTCGGAGTGAGATAACTGTTTTCTGAAGAATAGGTAACTGTCAGAACTAGCCGTTGGAACGAGCAGAGGTGCCCATAACTAGCCGTTGCTATGGACAGAGGCACAGTTAAGGGCACAAGCGTCTTGACTGTTTTTGGATTGTGGAACCGTGTGTGAGACAGACAAGTCTTGTCGAAGAGAAGTGCTGCCCCAGGAGTAAATCGGTCAACCTCTCCTGTTGGAGAGGCAGAAAGGTAAATGTTTTCCCCCACTTGACTGGACTTAAACAATTTGGCCATTCTGAGAGCAAAAATAAATTGGATCATGCCTAATTATTGGGACAGTCCAAAATAGAATCTTTTACAAAAACAACCTTTAATGTGAAATATTACCTTAAATAAATTCATATTTATACACCACACATATGATAAAATTGGATCAAATTGAGTCAAAATACTAACACTTGTATAACATCAAAATATAAATATAATCCAACATAGAACCCACTGTGAATAAAACAAAAACTCTTTCTTTTTTAGAAAAATAATAGATCACGATAAACTATAATGGAAAGATAGATCCTAAATTAATTTTCAAATAAAATATTGAAAAACTGAAGGGAGACATGTGGATCAATCTGAATTGCAAAGTTGATGACGGTTTGGATCGCATGCACTTTTCAATAAACACATTTTAGGACCAAAAAGAGCAACAATTTTTTCTTCTAACACAAATGCGAAAATCTTTTAATTTTATGAAACAAATCTGCAAACACATCAATAGGAGAACTTTGACGTGACTTAGATGAAGTGGAGAGAATGAAGTTTAATGACAATTGTGTTGAGAAGAGAGAATCTTTAGAATAGAGAAAGAATACTTTATGGTTCTTTGTTAAAATGTACTTAAGCAAATTTCCATCTCGAAATTTTAAATGTGATAAATAAATTCAAGACATTTTATCATCTTATCAAAAAGATTTCAATGTAGCAATTAGTTATAGTTATTTTTATAAAAAAAATGTTATATGCAGTTTCACGATAGCTTCCATTAAAAAAAATAGACATGATATTAAAATAGTTGATGAAAAATTTAAAAATATAATTATTATTATTTTTTTATAAAAATTAAAATTAAATTATAAACTATTTATAAAAACCAAAATCACATTTAATCCTATATTTTAAAAATAAAATTACGGACGAGAATATTTTCAAATCTCATACTTATTTTCATCTGTATGACTCACTTATGAATATTAATTTAATTTATTTATTTATACTAAAACCACCTCCAATAGAAGTTTTACATCATGGTTCGCCAACGTGGCAGCCAACTTTTTGACCAAAGCATTGATACAACTGTTCAACAGATTAAAATTATGCAACGACACTTCATTAATTTTTTATAAAAATATTAAAACTAGTCGTGCAACGGCTATTTTTTTTTTAATTATTTTTTTCAATTTATTTTTTATTATAAACATAGTTGTTAGAAAAAAAATTTACCAACACAATTTTCTCTCACTTTTATTTTTTCTTCAATTTCAAATTTCTCTCTTACAATTTCATCATTTTATTCATAAATTTTTAATTTTTTTTCCAACAATTTCTTCTCATTAGCCTTCTTTTGACAAAATATTAACCCAAATTTTCATCTTTTTATTTCAAATTACAATTGTTTAGGTCAAATGGATCCTAATCATTTTCATTATCAACAAGCTATGTTCAATTGCATGTAAAATCATCAAAAGTCTAATCCTCAAAATTCTCAAATTCCATCGGTACCAACAAACCCCGCCATATTTTTTCCGTCACCAAACAATCCAAATATGTATCTTAGACCTGAAATGAATTCTAATAGTATGGAATTTTCTACTCAAGTTCCACCATTTTCTACTTAAGTTAGTACTGAAAAAGAAGAGAGGGTTGTCGTTAAAAATCTCGAGAGAAATTTACAAGGGATGAGGATATACAACTTATCTAATCATGGCTTAATGTTTAAAGGATCCAATTGTGGAAGTTGATCAAAAGACTGAGAGTTTTTTGTTAAGAATCGCTGCCAATTATAACCAGTATCGTGGGCAAGAGCGGGAAAAGTTAGGGGGACAATTAAAATGTCGATGGTATTGAATAAATGGCTTAGTTTAAAATTTTGTTGGGTGTTACAAACAAGCTGTTAATGAAAAGAAAAGTGGGACATCGGAGAACGATATCATGGCCGCTGCACATGCTTTTTTTTGCTCAGGATTAAGGTACAACATTCAATCTTGAGTACGCATGGCGATTGTTAAAAGATGAACCTAAATGGATGGGAGAATCGATTGGAAGTTCTTCAAAAATAACAAAGACTTCTGCTAGTGGGGCATCATCGGAGAATCCAGATACACCTTCAAGTTATGAGTTTAACTCATCATCACCAATGGAGCGTCCAATGGGACAAAAAGCAGCAAAAAGGAAGGGTAAGACAAATGAAATTCCAACTGCAACGCAAGATGCAAGGAATAAAAGAACAACGGAAATGGAAAGACTAGCGCAATGTAACGAGGACGAGATAGAATTAAAGGTAATGCAAATCATGATGAAAGATACTTCTACTATGAGCAATAGTCAACGAGATATTCATGAAAAATATTGTAATAAGATGAAAAAAAAATATGGAATGTAGTTAGTATCACTTATGTAAAATGGTCATTAGTACCACTTTAATTTATCAACACCTATGTAAAATGGTCATTAGTACCACTTTAATTTATCAACACCTATGTAAAATGGTCATTAGTACCACTTTAAATTATAATAAATATTATGTTATTCAAACTAGTCGTTATTCAAACCATTATAACAAACTATTCGTTATTCAAACCATTATAACAAACTATTCGTTATTCAAACTAACTGTTATTCAAACCATTATATATACTACCACTTATGTCATTGTTTTCTCATTCTCATCTTATTCTTCTCTCATTCTTTACTCACTAAAATGGATTCAGACAATTCAGATAATTTCGATCAAGAATTTTGGGAGTTGACTGAAGAAGAATTTATGGACGATAGTGATGAAGAACAACAGCTTCAAAATGAACGTCAATCTGGAAGTTCCTCTCGGCCAAAGAGAAGAACAACGGTAGATTGAGGTCGTGAAGAAGGGCACAATCGATTATTTAATGACTAATTCTCGAAAAATCCAGTACACACAGATGTTCAATTCTGAAGAAGGTTCAGAATGCATAGGCATGTATTTCTTCGAATTGTAGATGCCCTTGGAAATCATGATGAATATTTTCAAATGAGGGTCGATGCAACTGGTAAAATGGGTCTTTCACCATTGCAGAAATGTACATATGTTATTCGTATGTTGGCGTATGGGTTTCCTGCTGACCTTGTAGACGAATATGTTCGAATCGGTGAAAGCACTTCAATTGAGTGCTTAGAAATATTTGTTCAGGGCGTGAATGTTGTATTTGGGGCTGAGTATTTGAGAAAGCCTAACAACACTGATGTTGAACATCTTTTACAAATGGGAGAGTCACGTGGCTTTCCAGGTATGTTGGGTTCCATTGATTGTATGCATTGGGAATGGAAAAATTATCTTGTTGCATGGAAAGGACATTATTGTCGAGGTGATCATGGTAAGTCTATAATTATGCTTGAAGCAGTGACATCACAAGACTTATGGATTTGGCATGCTTTTTTTGGTATTGTAGGTTCAAACAATGAATGTGTTAAACCAATCCAATGTATTTAACAATATTTCAGAAGGACATGCTCCCAATGTGCAATATACAATCAATGGGACACCATATAATATGGAGTATTATTTAGCAGATGGTATATATCCTAAGTGGGCTACATTTGTCAAGACCATTTTAATGCCACAGGAAAAAAAGAAAAAATTATTTGCTCAACATCAAGAATCAACTAGAAAAGATGTGGAGCGGGCATTTGGAGTGTTTCAATCTCGATTTGCAATTATATGTGGCCCAGCGCGTGCCTGGCACATGGAGACCCCCAAGCATACCATATATGTCTGCATCATATTGCACAACATGATTGTGGAAGACGAACAACATACATATGGAGGTAATTTTGATTACTCTTATGATAATGTGGATAACAACAACTCAACAACCGAAACATTTAGCGGTCCTCATCCGAATCTTGCAATAAGACTACAAAGAAGAGCAAGTATTCGTGAAAAACAAGTTCATCGTCAACTTCAAGGAGATCTAGTCGATTATATTTAGGAACATTTTGAACATGAATATGATGAAATTTAAGTTTGATTAATTATGTAACGTTATTTATTTTTATTGCTTTTAATTATATGTCATGTATTAGAGATTAATTTTAATTATCATTTTAAATTATAAGTTTAATTTAAATTTTATTTTTTTATGTCAATTTTTATTTAAATTATTAAATTATTATTTTAAGTGATATAAAATTTAATAGAAATAAAATATTAATATATAAAGGATAATTGTGAAACTCAGTATAAATTTTTCATAGTTACACTATTTAAATAAAAAATTAATTAAGTTAATTTAAGCAGGTGACTTAATAGATAAAAAAAAAAATTCACCATTTTGGAGATGCTCTAGTTGTTCTTATTTTTATCTGTATTCACGCCTTGATCCTCTCACCTGTCCCATTCATCACACCGCTCTCTCCATTTTCCCTCTCCGAATATTCAACCGGGTCGGATCTAGGTTTCTGGCCTTTGTCTACTACCTCTTCGGAACTTCTTCCACTAATATGGCCATGTTGAGAGGACACGGTTCCCGAATTTTCCGTTCACTTGCTATCAGTAAACTCAGGTTTTTTAGTGGGTTTGATTTTGATGATTTTTAGTGAGCTAGGTTTCAAATTGTGCTTTAACGATCATTGATCATGCAGAGAATCACTGCACAAATGGCTTTTTCGATCCCACTTGGGCCATTTTGGTTTGAGTTGTGTTTGTTATAAAGTGGAAACAAGTATACACTATTTACTTCGAATTGGCTCTGTCACAAGTGTAGTAATTAATGTCCATTCACTCTTAAAACTTCAGTTTTTGGAAAATTTTCAGTAGTTTCAAAATTTTGTGTGAAAGTGATCATTCCGTGCATTAGGTTCCGTGTTGTCTGTCCTTTCTGCAGTTAAATTTGCACATACTAGCAGAGCTTTAAAAAGATTGTGAGAGGCATAAATGCCACAAAAATTCATATTTGTAGGGTTGGGGTTGGCACACTTGGATCCACTATGCTGCAGAAAGATACCAAATCTTTGCAACTATCAATCCAATTTGTTGTTGGTTTATCATACTAAAAAAATTTCATGTCATGCAGGACCTCATACCAGAAGTCTCCAGTGGCAAATGCGACGACACCCGCTCTTGACCGCCGCTTAATGAGCACCACAGGGTATTAGTCAATTATGTGTATTTATATGTAAGATTAGGGTGAAATGTTTGCTATTAAGGTTGTGTGTACTGAATGTATCTACAGGACTTCAATGGAGGAGTTGAGGAGTCTGAGAATGGTAACGGCTGTCAAGACTCCATACCTACCTAATGGCCAATTCGATCTCGATACATACGATAACTTGGTGAACATGCAAATTGCAAAAGGTGTGGAAGGTATCCTTGTCGCTGGAACAACCGGTGAAGGCTATTTAATGACTTGGGATGAACAAATAATGCTTATAGCACATACAGTTAACTCTTTCGGCGACAAAGTTAAGGTTATCGGCAACGCTGGAAGCAACTGCACATCAGAAGCAATTACTGCAACCGAGCAAGGTTTTGCTGTTGGAATGGATGCGGCAATGCATATAAATCCTTACTATGGAAAAACCTCGTCGGACGGTTTGATTGCTCACTACAACAGCGTGCTTTCAATCGGGCGGGTCATCATATACAACGTACCAACCAGATCTTCTCATGATATTCCTCCTAGTGTAGTTGAGAGATTGGCTGAAAATCCTAACTTGGTTGGCATTAAGGAGTGTGTCGGAAATGATCGGGTGAAAATGTATACGAGTAAAGGACTTCATGTTTGGACTGGTAACGATGAAGAAAGCCATGAAGCTAGATGGGAATGTGGTGCTACAGGACTTCACTCTGTTGCAGGAAACTTGGTTCCTGGTTTGATGAAGGAACTCATGTTTGATGGTAAGAATCCCTCGTTGAATGCGAAGTTGGTGCCTTTGTTCGATTGGCTTTTTCATGTGCCGACACCGGTTGCTTTGAACACTGCACTGGCTCAACTTGGAGTTATTAGGCCAGTTTTCAGATTACCACATGTTCCAGTTCCTCTTGAAAAGAGAAGAGAGTTTGTGAATTTGGTGAAGGAAATGGGTAGAGAGAATTTTGTTGGTGAAAAAGATGTTCAAGTTCTTGAGGATGATGACTTTATTGTTGTTGCTAGATATTAAGCTGAAAAATCATTACAGTGTCACATTAAATTGAAAAATAAAATAGGATTTGGTTTATTTTTCGGTTGAAATATGCAGTGAGTTAGTTATCTAGGATGTAAACTACATTGAAAATCTATAGAATTTAAATTATTAATTAAATAATTAAATATAATAAAATAATATAATATTAATTAATTGGTTGAAGGGACATTATTCAATTTTTTATTTTTTATGATGAGTAAAAAAGTTATTCCCTTAAATTATTAAAAATATCTAACTAAGCATTTTGAATTAACCATGATTAAATATTTGGATAATTTTTATTAAACGGTTGCTAACTTGCATATGTTGGAACAACGCTACAGACACTAGTCTTGTAAATAACGTTGGAATAACGCTAGAGACACTAGTCTTGTAAACAACGTTGGAATTTATATTTTTCCTATTTTTTATTCTCACATTCATTCGGACCTGGCTCATACAATTAATTTGATTGGTACCCCGTTAATTTATTAAATAAATTTTGTGATTTTTTTAATGTATTTTATATGTTTTTACTGTATTTTTATAAATATTTTCAGTTTTTGGAAATACATCTCCGGACGCATCAAAAGATAAGATTATGTTAAAATATTTCGGAGATGGATCTCCAAAATATTTTGGAGGTTAAGTCGCGTAAGACTCTTCTCCTTTCTCTTTTCATAATTTTCTCAAACTCAATTCAACTTCTCTCAAATATATTTTCTACACCAAGTTAAATTTCATAAAATAATGCTCAAGGGAACATCATTCTTCATTTATATCATCCAACTTTATCAAAAACATCAATTTCTTATAAGTTTTTCTAGTTTTCAATCAATGTTTAAGTTTTGGTGTAAATGAGTAGAAATCAATGATTAGAATTAGAAATGAGTAGAAATCACATTTAAGATAGTTTAGACATAGTGTATTAGTTGTTTGTTGGTTAAAAATGATGATCAAAACAATTTATTTTGACCTTGTATGTGGTACATTACGCCATTAACGCGACTTTTGAATTGTAGAAAATTTCAAAGATGCATCTCCGGAATTTTGCAACTTTAATTTTTTGCAGGAAATTCTGGAAATGCATTGTAGGCTTGCTCAGCACGCTTCCGTTCGACGGGAGAAGAGTTAGCAGGTTTCAAGGACTCCTGGTCCCTTTGATCAAGCAGAGTCGTCAACTTCTGGGGCTCGTGCTTCTCCTCATGCCACTCCATCTTCTTCTTCCCGTAGGAGACGAGATTC